CAATGGCGCTGGTGTAGAAAGGATGAACAAAAAGCAGTTGAATGGTATGAAAAAGCAGCTCAACAAGGATATGCCAGTGCTCAATCTAATCTTGGTTGGGTGTTATGACAGTGGAACAGGAATAGAAAAAAATGAACAAAAAGCAGCTGAACAAGGATATGCCAGTGCTCAATTTGATCTTGCTTTATGTTATAGACATGGAACTGGAGTAGAAAAGGATGAACTAAAAGCAGTTGAATGGTATAAAAATGCAGCTGAACAAGGATATGTCAGTGCTCAATCTAACCTTGGTTGTGTCATGGCAGTGGAACTGGAGTAGAAAAGGATGAACTAAAAGCAGTTGAATGGTATGAAAAGCAGCTCAACAAGGATATGCTGGTGCTCAATATAATCTTGGTTGGTGTTATGGCAATGGAACTGGAGTCAAAAAGGATGAACTAAAGGCAGTTGAATGGTATGAAAAAGCAACTCAACAAGGATATGCTGGTGCTCAATATAATCTTGGTGTATGTTATACCAATGGAACTGGAGTAGAAGGGACGAGCAAAAGGCAGCTGAATGGTACAAAAAAGCAGCTGAGCAAGGAATTATTCCTGCTCAATATAATCTTGGTGTATGTTATGCCAATGGAACAGGAGTAGAAAAAAATGAACAAAAAACAGTTGAATGGTATGAAAATGCAGCTAAGCAAGGACATGCTAGTGCACAATTTAAGCTTGCTGCATGTTATGATTATGGAACTGGAGTAGAAAAGGATAAACAAAAAGCAGCTGAGTTATATCAAAGTGCAGTAAAACTGGCACATATGTCAATACAAGTCCAAACAATAGGCATTATAGCAGAATGGCAGGAGCTGCAATTGACATTAAGAATGTAATTGACTTGTGTCAATTAGGAGTTAAAAAAAAAACCCTTATTATTATGCACAATATATGCTTGGTTTGTATTATGAAAATGGGGTTGGAGTGGAAGCAAATATTAGAAAAGCACTTGAACTCTATGAAAGAGCAGCTGAGCAAGGATATAGTAAAGCAAAAAGCAAAGTGTATACTTTTTATAAAAATGGGTCAGAAGTAAAGGAAAAAATAAGAGAGAAGATTGAGTTGTATAAAAAGTAATAAGAAGTAGGTTTGTTACAGAGTTTTGATATTGGCACAATTACAAGGGTTGTAAATTAGATAATGAATGTATATGTAATGGTATTAGTATAGAGACAAATATTCATTTCTTACATTTTTCTATTTCTGAAGCTATTCTGACCAACAACAGCAAACCCATCTACAATTCCCATTCTATGTTTCTCTGGAGTTTAATCCCAAATATCAATTATTTTATTTTTATCCTCATCATACTTTTTAAATACGCTTGTTTTCAGCTCTCAAATCATTAAGTTTTTCGCGTCCCTTTGAAATTCAGCAAAAGAGAATAAAAGGTTGATATTGAACAAAGGCAAAACTGGAAAAAAAGTCCTGACCATAGCATTTGCTGAAGACAAGTTATAAAATTTTATATTACAGTCAACCCTTACCCTCTCTAAATGCACGCCCTTGGGAATGAACAGTAGTGTGCATTTAGAGAGGGATGCATTTACAGAGGGTCAGAATTATTGGTTGCACGTGATTTGATATATTAGCATGTTTATTCAATATTATCGAAAATTTTATCTATCATTGTTTACTCACTGACTTTAAACTAATGTAATGTTCAAGCACTCTTACATGATTTAGCAAGTCTTTAGAATCTTGTTGCTTCTGCAGAAATGAACAAACAATTTCTAAGCTTAATCCGAGGATTATCTACAGTTTATAGATCTTTAATAATCGTTCCATCCATTAAACAAAGAATTTAAACCATTTATCTATTAAAAAGACGTAAAACTTAGTATGCGTTACCATAGCAATTCAACAAAGACATTACTATTACAGATTCTTTAAGCGTCTATAATTAGCGATGAGTTTAGCTTTAAGTATTACTTTACACTTCCAGATAATTATTTATTATTATCTGTTTGTTACTGAGCTTAAGACAAAAGGCTGCTTAATGATTACAATTCTTGTTTGCAATGTTTATTAACTTAACTGGACCTTTGTCAACTTTAAATTTATCCAATCGTTAAAATGATGTCATTTGCCCTTTTTGTCGTTTGTCTAACATTAGATTTAGAACATCCAATCACCTCCTAAATGTCAAATGTAACACATAATACGAATCACATGAAAATCACGGGCGTGCATTTAGAGAGGGTAGATACATATGATGGAAAATGGAAAAAAACCGTGCAATGCATTTATGGAGGGTGCGCATTTAGAGAGTGTGCATTTAGAGAGAGTTGACTGTAATATGATAATAAATAATCTTGTACTTGAAAATTTTAATATTTATATTGAGCATTAAACGACAGGTTTATTAAATATCTAACATGATTATGTTATATCCACTTAGTCTAGGTTATTCCCACTCAGGTGTTCGCATGTGTATCGTCACTCAAGTGACGATGAGTTCACAAATTTGTCGTCACACTTAGATATGCTACTTCGACTTAGTCTAAAAAATTTTGTATACCGGTTTAATGTTTCTAATCGATTTCGATTATAAGATACTCCCCGATTTAGGTTAAGACGTACTAGGATACCCCTTCTGCGTTTTCTATTATAACCCAAATTCGATAACGTTATTTGTATGCTAGTTTGGTGATCGTGACTGCAATAAAATAACTGATTTAGGTTATGCTACTCGGGTTGGCTTTTGTGAGTCTGATGGGTCGAATACATTTTATGTGTCATTTGATATCATATGCTGGCTTGGCGTTCGTGGCTAATTTGTGTCGTCACCCACATGCGACATAATGTATGCCGGTTTAGTAATCGTAACCGATTTCCGTCGCTAGGACACAAACAAAAAAAAAAGTAAAAGTACACCGTGCGATTTATACATTATTATAGTAGCAACGGGATTTTTAACTGTAGGGTCGACAATAGATATAATTAATTTATTTTCGAGATCGGAATCAGACTCAGAATAATTTACAATACAACGCAAAACGCACGCAAATTGCATTACAACAAACACATTCCTTGTTCTGCAAGATCAAACCGTGAAATTACCCAAAACATAATACGCAAAAATGCTCTCAATCAATTCAGAATTTTTCGTGCTCGCCGTGTCCAATCGCTAGTATTATACCTAAATACTCGAAGAGTGGAAAACCGTATAGCTGCGGAATTGTCCGCCATCAAAAAATCACGGCGAAACTCAAGCGCTAATACCGAATTGCTACAAAAAATCAACGATCTCGACCTCAATATAAGCCTAATGGGCTACGAAGTTCGCGACATCAAAAATGGTGTTGGCAGTCGCGACAGTAATTCTGGCTCTCGACACCGGCGATATTCAAACTCTCTGGCAAGATTTCGATCGCCTATTCAAAGAAAAACGTCGACTAGAGAAACGCACCGAGTTATCAATGTATTCCAAAATTTCAGAAAAAATAAGGGAATTGGGAGAACGCCTTGGAGATGCCACTATAAGGAAATTCCACGAGCGTCTTACTAGAAATCCGACGGAAGAAACCATAGAATGTATTAGATTATGGGTAGATAATGAGAGGGAGTTAGATACGGAGGTAGAGGAGGAGAATAGTGATAGCGCTGGACCTAGCGGGACGAGAGAATAGGGGGTGGTCATCGCCTTCGGGCAAGCTTTGGAGCTGACTTCCACTGGTGCACCAGTTTTCCCTCCCATGCAGTCGTGCTAGGTTCAAGCTTTTTATCTTGTATTAATGCTTTGGAAATAATAGTAATAATAATGACTAAGGTCTGACATTTTTCAAGCCACGTGAATTTTTTGGCGCAAGATATTGATATTATCAAAAGGTCACTTGACTTGACATTCAAATTTCTATTCCACTTCCCACAGAGGTAAGTCAAAGCTTGATAAAGCGAAATCGGAGTTATTTGACGGACGGAATGGAATAGTCAGTTTATTGACGTGAAACTCAAATAAATATCACACAAACAAATATCTGTATTCATTTTTTGCAAAAATGACATCCTACCCCCCACCATTTATTGTTTCTGACTGCAGTCAACAAATGTCCAGAAGAGTCGCGGACAGCGAGGTTATCGTTCCCACGAGTGAGCAGGTGTTGGAAAGACTCGCGCACGGCAAGCTTATTGTTCCTAACTGTAGTGAACAGCTGTTTGAAGAAATCGCTCACGCAAAACCTTACCTTCGAATGAACCTTATCGAAGGCCAACTAGAATCAATGCCGTTCTCAAGGAAACGAGTTGTGTAACTTGCTAAACTACTATTTGACAGTTGAAATGTTTTCTTTTCTGCGCTAAAACCATAGATGAAAAAATATTGTTTAGATGCAAAAGAATTTGATATCATCGGACAACTTTATGTATGGTGTCGTGCCAACAAGAACCTGGTTGGACAGGGTGGTGCTTCCCAGGTATATTACGCAACCATTATATTGGCGTTTCCTTTCATGTTTGCGTCTTTTAATTTTTTTTGTTGATTATAGGGTGCTTTTAGAGTGCCTAACAGCAGGGGTGGCTTTAACATTTTAGGTCCTGATGCATCTGTTATTCTTAGTCCCAGGTTGGAATGTGATAAAATATAGACAGCTTGCATGGTTTGTGTGGTCTTTTTAACCTCTACCTTTTATTATCATAGATGGAACGCTTTCCTAGCTAACCAACCACCCAGACGACCCGGAGAACCAAATTATCCGGAAGTAACACCTAATTTTATTATAGAAATAAGGTCCGAAAGTGATACGGCCTTAGATGTTGACCGAAAGATGAATCTGTGGATGAGGGGAGGAGCCGAGGGAAGTAGACCAATGATAATGAGTATTTTACTGTTGTTTATCTCTTTGCTAATTGAATATTATTTATCTAGGAAGGGATATCGATCGATCCTTTTACAAATATAATAAGGGTCTATACCTTGGATGTCAACACCAATACTATCATTTGTCAAGAGATTCTGAATTGTACCTCGGCTACACAGATTCCTTCACAACTTCTTCCCGGATTTGTGTTGAGTATGCAATACGTCCTCTGATGGTAAACATATCTCTGCCGTAATTATTGCATTTAGTATTGCTTTATCAAATAACATGCCTTTTTACTGCAATTTGCTGTTCGAAATCTAGACCTTTCGGGTCAAGCTCTATCATAAATCATCATCTTGCGTTATTCCATGTATTCAGGTTTAGAATGGGAAAAAATCCATGCTCAATTCACACAGATATCTTTCGAGGAAGAGACTTGATTTGTACCGCGGGGAAATATTCAATCTACATCATCTAAACGACAATTCCCAATTGCTATTTTACCCGATGATCCGAAAGAGAAACAAAAACATGTTATCAAAATGGCATTGGAACGGTTTCCCGTTTTATCTTTGAAATATGGTAATGAATCTGGCGATTACTTTACTTGTTCAGTATCCTGTCCTATATGCAATAAAGATCATAAAAAGAAAATATAAGATATAATGTAGTGAATGGGGAGTAGTGGGGATTATGTTGATACAAAAACCTATCGTCTCAAATGCTGGGAGGCTTATCAAAATTCAATCCAAATAGTAACGGTGAAAGTATAGACTGGTGATTTCGAATATTAATATCGTTGACCAATTCAACTCGATATTCACTAT